CAGTGCAACACTCACGCACGGTCAACGGTGTGACCACAGGAACCTCAAGTCATTCGGCCATGTCTAGTACATCTCATGGACCAGGGCAACCACAGCTGTCGCTCTCGGGTGCACCTGGCTCACTTATTCCTCAGTCACCGGTCTCCGGTGGAATGAACTTTTTGAAAGATGCTTATGAGCTGGACGAAGATGGCCAGGTGATTTCTTGTCCAACATTTGATCGGTTTTCCTATGTTCCGTCGGATGTTTCATTCCTCCGGTTTGATTTAACTTGAATGAACAATATTGATGAGTTTATCTGATTGTCTGCAATTTCTACTCGTTCAGAATTTTTCTGTTTATCAAATGGAGTTAGCATGGAAGATTCTCATTCGGTTAAAATCAATTATTAATTAATTANTATCAAAGAAATACGTAGATTTGTTTCCTTCAGTGCCATGTCCGTGCCACGCTGCCTCTACGCATGTCCGAATTCGAGTTCAGCTATGCGCACCATGCCAGTGCTGATGTATGTATGCGCAGAGCACAAAGACAGGCAACGTATGAGAACGAAAAATACCAGTCGGACATCATTGCGGTCCATCTTAGGTTAACTGTAGCCCTCCGTCTCCTTAATCATCTGTCTCTGCTCGCCCCACCCCCGCCACCACGACCCGTCCACCGTAATTTCTGTCTCCTTTTCGATTACTTGGCATCCGATCTAATCGTCCGAGATTTGGTTCTGTCTGTGACATTATTGGAACAATGATGAAGTTTCGTGTGGCAATCAAAGAGCAGATTGCTTTAGCTGGGAGGGGGATAGGTGAGAGAGATTGTGTATGACATCGAACGAAAAAATGCACAGCACAATCAAACATGAACACGCGGATACACACAAGAACAACAAACAAACACAGAGAGAGAGAGGTGTATACGTACATGTTTGTGAATGCATGAATCAATGGGGATGCAGCCAAATGAATTGCTGTGACTCAATTCCAGATCGTGTGAAACACATCATTTCGACGGACTATCATCGGGTAGTGATTCTCTCCAACGGTCAGGTCCACCAATCACTATTGTGGACTTTGTTCACAAAATCAAGGATTTATCAATGTACTAGCAGTTATGGATGCAACGTGATGCTCCTTGTTGATATAATACCACGTGTCTGAATTCTGAATTCTCGTCTCACATCGCTCTACGTTTCATCGGCTAGTCGCACCGTATTGATTTTTCTTTCCTGCTCTAATGTGAAAAATATTTTTCTAGAATCATCGTGTACGTCATCAAGTGTGCTGTAGGCCAACCTTGAATTTTTTGTTTCTATTCATTCTGTAGAACTTTTTAACACCGAACTTGAAACTGTTTTCAATGAAACAAGTGGGAAAGGGGAAATGATTGTGTTGGAAAATTGTCTCCCGGTGCGATCAAAATACTTGAGAAGAAAGGTGTAGGCCAATGTAGAAAGCAGAGGGTAATGAAACGCAATGATCTACGTACAACTGACAAACCATGCACATTCGATATTTAACTTTCACATTAGTTGATGTCCTCATTCATCTTTCACTTATCGCTCTCACTCCCTCTTCCTCTCGCTGATCGAAGGTTCATTTCAAAGTGCGATTTGATGCGAAAGACTTTGCACCCGAGGACATTGATGTCACGACCGTGGAAAATCGACTAACGGTGCATGCGAAGAAAAATATCCAATCAGGATCATCTTCCACATCCAAGGAGTTCTGCCGTACAATCGATTTGCCTCGATCCATCGATCACGAGAAATTCAGATGCAACCTGACTGAGGTACGTTTAAGGGGGTTTGAGGGATAGGTTTAAATGTACCCTTAAATGCTATTGTAAGTTGTCATGGTAACTGAAGAAAGCGATCTTAAGTCACTAATCGATTATTGTACTGGACAGTTCATGTAGTCTCATAAATCGGTTGCTTCAAACGAGGTGAATACACAAAGTAGCAGTGAAACCAGATACTTTCCCTCAAAAAACGGTGGCCACATTCCGTCGATTTAAAGTGAAATAGGTGTTACTGGTAGCGCCTCATCACTCCGATCTCATAAATTTGTAATGAGTGCAAAGCTCCGAGCGGTGATTCCATTTTTGTGGAATAGTTGGAAAAAACGTTATCCAAGCAGAACGGAGATAAATATTGCCTATGTTTTATGAAAGTAATCAAGGACAATAAATGAAAGTTTGTATCGCACGAAATGAATCTCCTTTATATTCTCATGAAGCAATTAAATGGCACAAAGTTCCAAACAGTTTATATTTGGAAATAGAATCATTAAATGCGATTGGTGTTCGAGAATCGATTAATCAAGTGCGTCCTTCAAATACATTTTTGTTTTTCCTTGCAAATCACATTGGCGTGAAGCTGTATGACGTAAACGCTCCATGCTTCTTTGTTCAGTATATTTGGCTAGTACTCCCTTTATGTTCGTCTCCGTCCGAGTGACCACTCACTCCTGATATTTTGATAACTGGTGAACGAATCCGAAAACAGAGTCTACAAAGGCAAATTCTCCGTGTGAAAACTACACCCAAATTATCGTTCTCATCGTAGCTACAAACCTTCACAGTCAAAGATACGCGGGGCGTGTTATGATGACGCATCCAAAAGTGGTTTAAATTGCACGCTGCTGCATTTCTATACCATTAGAAAAGTACGATGAACACCCATCCATAACCGACTAGAACGTCTGTCGACCATGAAAATGGTTTAACACCAAACTTAATAGTTGTTTGTCCACATTGTTCAAGACATATATCGCTGGGTTCGAGTTACCGATCACATTTCTTCTCCCAGATAGGCCATTGAGATCAAAGGACTAGTTGCAAAAGAATTACTACTTGCGATCAACAAACTGGGAGCAGTCAACAACCAAAGTGAATTGCTCTGTCTTATTTATTATCATAGCTACTAGCGATGCTCATGATAGCACCGCTTTTCATTGGACCGTTCGTTCTATCCATTCAATCAGGTTGGAAACAATGAAGACCTGACTTTATCAGTTTTGAAAGATTCATTTCCCGAGATAAACATGAAGCGGGATCATAATAAATCTAGGTCGCACGAGTCGGAGTCTGTTGCAATCAGAAGATGGAAACCTAGCCTGTGTGTGTGGATGTGGGTGATCAAAAAGAACTGCCAGTCACCATACCACTACCTTAGCAGTGGCCAAATGGGATGATTCGGCCCCCTCTTATTCGTATGTAACCTAATGTACTGTTCCATGATAAAAACGCGTTGTTTCCTCTGTCGTTCTGTTCCAGATAGTATGCGATACGATGCATAAATCGTGCAACCTAGCTTTGTTTTGTTCTGTTTCTCAATTCCTTTGAGCTCTTTTCATTTCCTCTTCAAACTCCGCTTATCTGTTGTCCCCTTACATACACATACACACACGGTCAATAGGATGGTGTTCTCATTTTGGATGCTCCAGTGAAAGATCAAAGCTACAAACACATCACATTCCGCGATGATCATCAGTTGGGAATCAAACCTCGTAGTGAACCTCTGGAATCCAGTCGAACAAACAAACTTATGACGCTTGGTATGTTGACTATCAAGAAAGCCGTTTTTGTCGTATTTTGATTTTCTGCACTCCGTTGAAAATTCACGCACACCTCGCCTTTGAGCGTTTGTCCGTAGACATGTATATTGAAGCAGACGTTTACGTGCAAAATACCTTTTTACCCGCGTCCAGTTCTCCTACCAGTTCCATGTAATCTCATTCGTTTGGCAATGTGTGACGTGTGTCACACGGTCCCTGTACACGCGCATGCGCTTTGTGTGCGGTGGACTAACGTGTTGTTCCGCAAGCGAGAGTGTGGGCAAACTAGAGAGAGAGCGTGCGATATTTGGATTACGCAAGCTCATAATTTAGCCCTGTCGACCAGATAGGTGTACAGAGATGGGAATTTGTCGATAGTGAATCAAATACGGTTGTTTATGTGTTAAGCAACCCCACACGCACACGCACCTAGAGGCAGGCACCCGCCTGAATATCTAATCAACAATGTCGAGAGGATGTATACGCACACATGCACACATACGCACACACACACAAACTAATGTAGATGCACGGATGCGTCCATTTTGTGTTTGCCCCGCGTTTGTGAGTGTGTCTGTGCCCCCGGTTGTCTTGTGCATCATCTCGTTGGTTTCCAATCCCATGGACCGATACTGAACAGCTGCAATTCGCCGAACCTGAGCAGAGTAAACAGCGCATTGTGCATCCAATCGATCGATCCGCATTTGCACGCAGTGTTCTAAATGTAGCTTGGGCTGTAACGCGCAAATATACGTGCGTGTGCACATGCAGATTAAGGGTTATTGAAGGTCGTCTTGTGTGTCTGTGTTACCCGAGTGTTGCTTGTGCATTGGAATCGATCAGCTGTAGCTCCAATTTGGGTTGGTTTGTGCAAAGTTTTAGCTGAATTGATCTGTGGTGCCTAAGCCTGATAGGATCTTCTGATAAAAGTTGGTAAGTTGTGGTTCTTCACTCCGACGGCAGAATAGATAAAATTGACATTCAATCGTGGATCTACCATCTACAATTCATAACAAAGCTTGTTCTCAATTTTTCTTATTTCCCAGTCTAATAGAAAACCCAACTGAATAAAGTCAGAATCAAACAAAGACAAAAATTTGAGTTGCCATCATTCTAAATGTCAAGTCACCAAAAACGGAGAAACATTTGGAACGTTTTTTCTTCCAGTTAACTTGTGAATACTTTAATCTGTAAAGTACAAATCTATCTTGTTTTATTGCTGAAACGCTCTCCTTTACCAACCCTCGGTTTCGTATCATTTGAGAAGCGACCGTCAAAGTGATTTGTGCACATGCCATCTGATAATCCCCTGAGATCATAGCATTTGGTACACTAAAATAACTATTTCACCAATTTGTTTTCAATAAAAAAAGTAAAATTTGATATTCCTTATTCCGAAAAACTATTTTTATTAATTATACTTTTGTACTTCAACAACCAGACGAACCCAGATCCCCAGAAGGTGAGTTTACTAGATCTGTGGTCTCCCTGCTGCCTTGATTCGTTTTAAAAATCAACAGGTCACCCCTTTCTGCCTAGTCTGACCCACCCACTTACCTCCCCCCTCAGTTAATGCTTCCTTATCCTGTGACCTTCTGTCCGTACTCCTCACTCCCACCGCCCCACCTTTAAACCAGAATCCCGTTATCTGTTTTGCCCTGTGTGTTCAAAGATACCTGGTGCGAAATGTAAAATCCTCGCTTAAGTAAATTGTGCAGTTTAACCCCTAATTCTCACCTACTCCACAATTGTGCCAGAACCTAAAACCGCTCATAGAGATAAACTAATAAAAGGGTTAAACTGTGATGGAAACGGTGTTATACGACTGATCCTACCATGTATTTTCTTTCACTTCAATTCGTGTAATCCTCTGTTTGTCCATCGATCGGTATGCAAATCACACATCGGAGCACCCGATTTGTGACATGATCGGATAACACAAATTTATAAGTAATTTACAAGAGATCCATCTCCTAATTCCGATAATGTTCTTGAAAATTCTTGCATTCATTCTGTCTGCATGTTGTTCTGGGATCCATATTGGCGATTTGGTTCGCAAAAGGGTTTTATCTTGTGTAACCGAGATTAAATTAGCGCACCACAATTATCTTCAGATGCCTTGGTTTAATAAAGTCTCTATGGGCCCGCAAACGTCCCAGGAAGTCAAACTGAGACGGGAACCCATAAGTGTCACTGTGAGTCCTCTCCAAGCACTCCACTCCGAATGCGGATGAGATACAAGCAAATAAGTCTTGGCCCAGGTACGCGTTTCCATTGTAGCATTGATTTTCCGCATTTAAGCGAACGCTTTGCCTGCTCAACCTATGTGTGATTCATGAGCCTGACTTAGTAGAACATACAAATCAGAATAGTGTAGACTAAATACGGCTTTNTGACAGGTACTTTCTCCATTTCTCTCTCTTTTCGTCTGTGGATAAACGTTACAGGTGTTTCCGGTCCAACGGTACTAAAAGATGCTGGCGATGGCCGTAAACTTCATCTAGAAGTCCCAGTGGATCCGGCATTCAAAGCAGAGGATTTGTGCGTTCGGATGGATGAGAATCGCATTATCGTGTCCGGAAAACAAGAAACCGGGAAAGACCAACGGGAAGGTTCCAGTTCAGTACGCGAATTTACGAAATCTTACGAAATTCCGGAGACAGTTGATCCATTCTCTGTGACAGCGTTGCTCAGCGGTACCACGCTAATCATTGAGGCTCCGTTATTGCACACCGTCTAGGTTTAATCAGGCGGAAAACCTGGGAACAACCTAACAAGCACACACGCACACAAAAGGTTTTCGCCGAATCACTTTCAGTCATGTCTTATTCACCTCTGGACCAACCACCTTATGTTCAGTCCAAGTCTAATTGTGGAGTCTCAGCTTCTTCGTTCAACATCGTCATACTGGTCAGTGTTCTCGTGTGCAAACATCCGGCGATCCCAAACATCCACGCACACAAACACTTACACATGCACACACACACACGCATATACGGCATCCATTTCTATCTTTCTCCTATCACATCTACACCCGTTTTCTTTCTGTGTCATTCACAACTTGTTCTTCGCTGAGCAAACACAAAACTTGCCGGTTTACCGAAGTACCGTAAACTAATTGTTCGGTTTATTGAATCGGTTTCATTTCCACTTCGCATAGCTGGTTCGTATCAACCTCGTCCTTCCGTTATTTTCGCCCAAGCTTCCCCATGTGGTTCGTACTTTTACCTGCCGACATTCTACTGGCACCTTTTGTGCAATGCTTTTTCTCGTTATTAGTTATTCTTTGGACAGTTACTACTACTACTATCAATACCATCAGTATTATCACTACCATTAAAATTCATTTCGATCCGAGCCAGTATTGGTGCTGCATGCCTCCAGTGCCCTCACCGTTGCATTCATACTTTCCCTTAGTGCTGTCATTTGTTTTTTCCATCCCCTTCCCGCCACACACTCACAGTGGTCTTCCGTAATTTTCATGTATCCTTCGATCTCTCTCCTGGTTTTGTTTGCACAAATATTGTGCTCAAGCAGTAGTAGTCGTACGGACCACTCCTTTCGGTGAGCATGTTCATTTGTGTGTGTGTGTGTGTGTGCGCCCTCGTAAGTGCCTGTTTGTGTGTATGCATTCTGGTCTGTGCACAATTCGAAATTGAAGCTTTTTCCAAAATCATTGACATTTACTTGCATGAACAGAACATAAACTTCTCTGAGTAGTGACAGATTATTGCTCATTGGGCGATTTGTTCACCTGAAAAACCGAGCAAGATAGACATTTATCTGAAACCAGAGAGAATGGTTTGGGCATCATAAC